TATGTCTACACCAGGGGTCGGCAACGTTTGGCACGCGGCTCACCAGGGTAAGCACCCTGGCGGGCCGGGCCAGTTTATTTACCTGCTGACGCGGCAGGTTCGGCCGATTGCGGCCCCCACTGGCCGCGGTTCGCCGTCCCAGGCCAATGGGGGCGGAGAGAAGCGGCGCGGGCGAGCGATGTGCTGGCCGCGGCTTCTCGCCGCCCGCATTGGCCCGGGACGGTGAACCGCGGCCAGTGGGGGCCACGATCGGCCGAACCTGCCACGTCAGCAGGTAAATAAACTGGCCCGGCCCGCCAGGGTGCTTACCCTGGCGAGCCGCGTGCCAAACGTTGCCGACCCCGGTCTACACTATAGAGGGAAGGTATAATTTCCAGTCCTGCACTAGGTCTGGCTGAGCTAGTTCACTAAAAGTAGAGGTGCAGCCATGGCAGTGGGAGGGACTAGCTGCCCAGAGTAATAGCCCATCCAAGATTCTAGGTATGTACTCTGGCAGCTAGCCCCTCCTGCCCTGCCATGGCTACATTGCTATTTTTAGCATGCTAGCTTTCTTAGAGCTAGTGTGGGTATGTCTAATCAAGCTGGAAATTGTAGCATCTCCAGTGCAGACTTACCCAATGGCATAGAGAGATGTAGGGATGGATCCGGACTTTGAGGTATGCACCCTTCTCCAATGTTAAAATCTCCATCTGATCAGACCATTTATCCATCTAGCACAGTAACCTGGCTCCAACAGTGGCAAGTACCCCATGCTTCTGAGGAAGGTGCAAGAACCTGGAAGGGGGCATAGCTGTGGGGCTATACAAGAGTTTATAGGATTGACAGAATGACTGGCATATTGAGAGGAACAGTAAAGTGTCCTTTCTGTTTTGACAACCTTGGTAACTGCTCATGTTGCCATTGAGACTGATCCGGAACCCAGAAAAATAGTATTCAGAAGGGTTGTCTCATATTTATAATCTTTGGGGAGTATATATTTGCATTTTACTGAATTCCTAATATTAAAATCAGTTTAGACTTCAACCCTTCATAATGGAGACATAACAACCTTTAGCATGGGAAAGGTGGGAAGGGAGAAAATGGGAACTTTTTATAGGATACAAATCACAGTGAAGGACAGCAATAAAGTTTATAACTTGTTCTAAGATACAAAGCAATGAAGAGGAAGAGAGAAGTATTCAAAGATAAACTCTTCTACAGAGATGAGCTTAAAATATAGGGTCAGATTCTCAGCTGATGAATATCATTTCAGCTCCATTGAAGCTAATGAATTGACACCAAAGTACAGATGCAGCTTTAATCATATTTGGATATTTTAAACAGCCCATATGTCACTACTGCAAACTAACTGGCTGGCTCATGTTATTTCGGATATAATTATCTGCGTTTATAACTCAAACAGTAGTAAAAAATAATGGAGGAAATATGCCCCATTTCAAATGAGACTGGGGAAAAAACACATCATCTTTATAAAAGTCAGGTCAAACATACAGAGCTCTCCCCTGTAGATTTTTAGCCCTCAAAACCAATTTCAGTTTGTTTCTCATGATAAAAGAGAAGAGTGGAGTATCTGCTGGTTACATATGATCCTATACATTTTAAAATAGTATTGGCTCTCTGATTAAAGGAAAACATGCATTGCCTATAAATCAGTAAGTATAAAATTCTTTAGCAAATAAATTCAGTTTGTTTAACGGGAAGTCACCAGAAACTAGGATGTAAACCTCAATCAAGTCTTTCCTACCCCTTGTTTCAAGATTTGTCCTAGTAAGGATTCTGTAAAATGGCCGCTTTGCTTTTTCCTGTTTGAAGACAATCAGATGAGATAGGATTTGATTCCCGGCATATGGTTTAAACATATTTCATCATCTGTTTTATTTTCTCCCGGCCAAAAGGCTCTTGCCTTGTCTGATGCCAACTGTGATTGTTTGGTTATTGTGGGGTTTTTTTTTTTTTTAAAGCAATGAAAGTTGCAGCTGCAACAGCAGATGGAGTTCTCCTGCAAATCAGATTTCTTGCTTCTGCAGCCCATTAAGCCATGAAGTCAATTTTGCATGTGTGTATATAAGCATTAGCTGAAGGCAACTACCCAGCCTTTGAAGTCTATCTGAAAATGGAGAACTTAGCCCAGGAATAGCAAACAGCTGAGTGTTTGACCATATAAGATCACTTTCACTCAAGTTTTAATTGCATTTCATTTTGCAAAAGGGAGTTCTGAAAAGTCTAATGAACTATAACACCACCTGTGAAATGCTCCATTGTGACTGTTAAAAGTAAAATGAATGGGAAATAGCATCAACTGTAGGCATCTTCAACCACCAAGCAAGAAATGTTATTTTTATGAGACAATTTATCTCATGTGTTATGTTGAAAGAGTTAGGACAGGAAGTTAATTAAATTGCTGTTCAGTATCCAACCTTTATTCACAACTGTTTGCATGTGCATGTAAATTAATCAAATGTTTCAGCACAATAGCCTGAATTTTCCAATACATTTCAGCGACCTTCTTTTTCATGTGAGACAGAAAAGGGGTTCAATCCTGATTTCAGTTGAGCTAGGTTTTTAGCCCCACTGAACTACTGCAGAAATGTAAATCAAGAGTGGTAATGACTTTCCTAGTAAGTATCCTTTTTCACCAAGCTATGTGTTGTAATCTTGGAGTATGCCCAGAGTTTTCTATAGGTTCTAGGGCACCAAAGAACAAAACTATATGCGAATACATCCCTGAGGGATTTCCAGCTATTGACTCCGTGCTCTAATATGGCAATACAGATATACTAGTAGTGCATGATTCTAGCCAATCTCGCTTTACTATTGCAGAAACCACTGGGAAAGAGCTAGTATACGAGAATCACAGCTGCAAACCTCCTTTGTAGGTGACAGAAATGCTCTAAGGAGGCAGCATAACACAAATTGAAAGGAGAGAAATTGAACAAAATGGGGAACAAATGAATAAACAAAGCCCACTAATCAAAGAGCGATGAATAGCTAACAGGGACCCAAAGGAAAAGAAATATAGAGTGGAAAAATAAATGGAGCTAGTCTTAACAATTAAACTGTTGCCATAATATGAAACTCTTTGAAATTCAAGAACCTCCCAGCATTGTGAGTACCTGCCTCGTGGCTTTCAATATATCTGAAGATACCTTTCTGGAATTTTGCATCTTGGCCTGAACACATCAGTATAACATAGGTTTTAGTATACTGTATCACTTTTCAGCTATTGAGGTTATCATTCTATTAATAACTCATGCAGGGGCCAGTGGTCAATAACTCATTAGGGGACTCACCCAAGCATTAGTTTTAGTCCCTGACCAGAAGAGCTTATGGTCTCATTCTTGGTATGACATAACTGAGGGTGGCAGACTATCTTGACCCTCCTAATACTTAATCTTAGATTTTGCAGTTCCCTGTCATGGACAAGAATGTATCTGAGTGAGTGACTGAAGTTTTGATTCGTGCAGATTGCTTGCATATAAGAACTATTTGAGTCCTATTAGTTAGTTGTGTTAGTGTTGAAGGAAGCAGCAAAATTTAAGTGAATATTGCAAATATTTAAAGAAAATGAATTTTGAACTCGTAAATGCAAATTCTTACAACCAGAAGTTTAATTCCATGATTTTTGCTGTATGATCACAGAATAGAAATGATACCAGGTGACCTGTCCAATCAAAACTATCACAGCATGACTAGAATATAAAATATTAAGCTCTTTCGGGTGGGGACAGCACTTGGTACAATAGGGTCCTGGTCCATTACTGAGGCTCTTAGGTGCTATCACAATACAAAAGATGATAACATTTCTCAGAAATCTACAGATAAGAATTATTTACAGAAATTATTTTGTGAATCTTCTTAAATAGCAAATTTGAGAATTACAAACTGATCACAGACAACTGAACACAAAGAAGCTAAATTAACCAAATAAATCAGTCAGTATGAATTATTTGCTCAGCTCCACCGAATACTTGCTGCACAAAATACTTTCTACAGGACTCGGCAGAGAGTTGGCCTAGCCATTGATCAAATGCTGTTCTGAGCAACCCAGAATTTCTCTGTCTAAACCTCCCTATTCCCCATGTTCACCAGATACATGCCCTAAACAAAACTGAAGATAAATATTTTAGCTTTTTTATATTTTTCCCCTGGGAGACTGGTCCTGAGAAAAGGGTAACTTTTACAAAAAATAAAGCAAACGCAAAATACAGATACCAAGATTTTGCAATTGATTATCATAGCAGTTCTCAAAGTGTGCGTCAGGACCCCAAAGTGGGTTGCGACTCTGTTTTAATGGGGTTGCCAGGGCTGGCATTAGCCTTGCTGGGCTTGGGGATGAGGCCGAAGCTGAAGCCCAAGCCCCACTGCCCAGGGCCAAAGCCAGAGGGCTTCAAGTTATAGACTCCCTGCCTGGGGCTGAAGCCCTTTGGATTTGTCTTTGGCTCCCTCACCTGGGGCGATGGGGCTTGGGCGGTCTTAGACTTTAGTCCCTCCTCTTGGGGTCATGTAGTAATATTTGTTGTCAGAAGGGGGTCGCAGTATAATCAAGTTTGAGAACCCCAGGGTTAACAGAATATGGAATTATAGTCTCACTAAATTGACTTGGAGCACAATATATTTTATTATCGTTATTCAAGTACATGTATGCATATTAAAGCAAGTGTATATATTTTAAGTGTTTCAAGTCACTTTAAATGTTTTCCACATTAATTGTCTAATAACCTCTTAGAATATTGGATGGTATTTTTTAAACAGGTACAATTAATGTTTCCTCGAACAATATCAGTGTCAGCCTATAAATCAAATACTTCTAAAATTAGGTTTTGTAAAGTTAATGAAACTAGATAGAAAGCAAATTTAAGATTAAAGTTCAGGTAGACTTCAGAAAAAGGTTTTCTACAAGGCTGTTTCGATCTGTTCTGACTAGCCTACCACAAAACCAATAAGGGATAAGACAAGTTGATGTAATCTTTAACCTAGTTATAAAAAGCAGGTATCCTTACCTTTTCCAGCTTTGATAGCGCAAGAGAGTAGCAGTCTTTGGCTCTGAACTGCATGAATCTCATATTGGCTGGGTGAGTTAGTTCTGTGATTATGCTTAGACTTGAAAATAACCTATGTTTTAAGGAAATGTTACAGTTACACCTCCAATGATCATAATTCATTGCTAAAGTACAGCATAATGCAAAACTTATCTGTACCTCCACATTTATAATTAAGTGCAAGATAATTCTGGCTTTTGACACAAGAATACCATAACTAATAGCAAGGAATGCTGCACAAAAGATTCTCCATTGACTCGGGGGAAGCAAATGTATTTTCAAAAGTGGAACTTACAAATATTAACAAAATAAACATTTACTGCAATTGCTAGAGCATTTCAGCTGACACGTAATCTCCAATATGACACAAGTCTATATGAAAAGAGAGGAAACCCAGGAAACATTTAAAGATGACAACACCTTCATTGGAAGTCATCCTTGTATGTAAACTACCAGTATATTAAAAATAGGGTTATACTCAATTATTCATCCATGATTTCTCTACTTACTTGTTGTGTAAATGTCTGCAGACCATACAAACTGTCAATGTACTTATTAATGTAAAGCTGAAATTAACACATGCTCAGAAAGCAGTGACTAAAATTGCTGAGTAAATCAGATGTGCCCACAGAGTTGGACTTGAGATATATATATATATACATATCTAAAAGGCATGTAAATTGCTATCCATTGAGTTAATGAATCGGATGCTGGATTGGAGCTGCAAAATGCCGGGCAGCTCTAGGATAAAGGAAAAAGAGTATAGAGGGCTAGGCCCCTCCTTCAGGTGCTCTGCTGCCCATTGGCCAGCCAAGGAGACTACAATAATTTATTTAAACCCTGGCCTAAGTGTTTCTCAAGCCTCTTGTCCCATTATTAGCTGAATCCTGCCTCCCCATAGTTATGGAGTAAAGAAGCTGTGTTTAGGTTGCTGTGGGTTTACCTGCTTGCCTGTTTAAGGGATCAGCATGGATTTTTTTTTCCTATTGGGTCCAAATTGACTGTGAACTAGTGGGTTTTTTGCCTTCCTCATAGAATCATGGAGACACAGGTTAAATGGGCGTAGGACTTAGGAATTGCATTAAGTTAGTTTGTCACAAGCAGAAAGTAAGAGACATTTGGGATTTGGCTGGTGGATCTCAAACTTATAGGGAAACAGCAGACCTGAAGTCCCTTCAGACTGGGGTCCCTCTTGGTACATTCTCACGTTCCACACTGAGGAGGGGACAGAAGATTTAGCAGAGCAAGATGAATGCTAGGGGAAAGCAGTGGAGAGCCTACCTTAAGTTATGGGCTATATGATGTGTCCTGTAAACCCCACACTTGATCCACCTAAATGCCTGCTATGGGGAGATGGGTGGATAGTGCTTCTCTCCAATGTTGAACTTTATATTAAGTTGCAGTGGGCTGCTTAACATCATTCCTGTGTTTGTCCTTCACTTGTGTGTCCTGCTCACTGGAGAAGTATATCACATTACCACTAGCCTGAACACATGCTTTAAAAAAAAAAAAAAAAAAGCACCTGATAGCTTAATCCTGTGTTGGATGTATCACATAGGTGCTTCTAAGCACCTTGCTACATATGTATTATCAGTAGAAGCTGTCTACCTGGGAAATGTATGGATACACTCTAAACCCAAGTGCCAGAGGTGGGGAGGGCAAGGGGCACAGTTTCCCTCAATTTCAAAGTGAAGTTTTCAATGGTCTCCAAAATACTAAAATACTATCCGGTTTCTACTAAATAGAAAATGTGGCTGAGATATGAGAAAACTGAAGTGTTTCATTCTGTCTCATTCAAGACTTTTTGGCCCATTTTTAGTACTTAATGTAGAAGTGTTTAACATATAGATAGAAACTGATTGTAAACTGCATTAACCTAGGAGAACTGAACTTCTAGTGGTCAGGGGTTATAGGGCTGCCTTCTTATTGTTTGTAATAGATTAGCACCTTGAGGCCCAACTGAGAAGAGGGCTGTACTGTGCTAGGTGCTGCACAATCACATAGAAAGAGATAGCCCAGGCTGCAACGAGATGACAGTGTAAATACAAGACCTCCCAAGAAGAAGGGAATATTATTATTCTCTGTTTTCAGTTAATGAACTGGAAAATGGAAACAAAAGTGACTTCTCCAAGTTAGGTAACACAAGGAGCCTGTTATAATGCTGAGAATAGAATGCAGTTCTCATGTTTGTCCATTGCCTTGACCACAAAACCATCTTTCCTCTTCATCGTGTATTTGTAGATGTGGTTAGGTGTCTAATTCCAGTGAATGTCAATACATATATAGCTGAAATTTCAGAACACATCCAGGGATGTACCTGGAACTGTGCCTGGACTTGCACTAAGGCATCCAGGATGGGATTTAACAAAGGAGATTAAAGGAGTTAGACATAGGCTAGAACTCCTAAGCTCTTTTTGAAAAGTAGAACTTTTAAAAATCCTGTTTGCAGTATAGATCATTCTTATTTAGTAGAGCTTTGAAATTATTTTAAATAGAATTTAAAGTAGACTATACTTTTGCAAGATGAATTGGTGATGGTTTCCTTTTTTCCATCTAGTAATGGGGAACTCTAACACTAACAGCTTTCAAACCCACTATCACCATCCCGTAGGAGCTCAGGTAAACTGGGATCCAGATATGAACTGTACTGGTTTGGGTTTTCCCAAACCCAACCAACAAATAAGCAGCTTTTTATAGGCTTCTGGCCTGATTCTTATAGCGTTGCTGAACACCCACAACACCCATTGAAGTCAAAGGGAGCTGTGGATATTCAGCTACTTTGAAAATCATTCAACTGGTACTTAGCAACTGACTGGTTTCATAACATAAAGCAAGAATAATGTTCAAAGAGTCTATCGATGCTAGTATTCTTAATTCTAGCCTTTTGATGCCATAAAACTGCTCCTCTCATGTCTGACTGCATGCTACAGTGCACATTCTAGGACAAGCAGGCATACTCTCTGGATTGTCGTATTATATGAAAAGAAATATCAGTGTCTGAGAGATTGATCTACCTCTCAAAGCCACCAGATGCTCTACTGCACTCTAGTTGTTGAGGGGTCCCATAAAATAGGTGAGGAATGATGCTTTATTTCATCAGTACCCAGTGATATTTTACAAGGAACATAGAGTATAGGAACAAAAATGTAAATGAAAATTGGTCTCTTCAGGTAATTATGATTTTTTTTAGAGAGGAAATTTCATTGTTGAAGTTGACACAAAGTCTACAGTGGTGAAAATTGTCATTATCCTGGGCTGGCCTATAGATTTAGGTAATGCTTAAGCCTATGAGACAGACATTGAGGGTGGCTCTTGAATACAGCATTTTTTTAAATTTCAGGATGCATTTTAAGATCAATTATTACTATTCCTTTCTTTCTATCATTTAGTCCTTCTATGTCTAAATGGAGGCAACTTCTGTTTCTAAATGTCCTGTTCTTGTGGAATGGTGAGCTATTTGTTATGCAAAGATATTATGCAAGTAGTGCATAATAGAAAAATGACATGAAAATTAACCTTGCAAAGAAAAGACATGGTTCAGGAAATACATGTAAAGTAAATACATGTAAAATCTAAATACTGCATTAGGTACTCTTCTCCATTATCAGTCCAAGAAATCTTTAAACAAACAAACAAACAAACAAAAACATGGCCCCAAACATCAGATGTAACCTATTTTCATCTAAGACTGCCAGTTGTGAAGGCAAAATCTCAATCTGAAGAGGGATTAGCTAAGAAATGAGCAACGTTCCTACTGAATGCCAAGGTGAAGGATCTGTTCACTCTTGTTCTGTTCAGTTAGGCATGACAGAACAAGGAGTAATGGTCTCAAGTTGCAGTGGTGAAGGTTTAGGTTGGATATTAGGAAAAACTTTTTCACTAGGAGGGTGGTGAAGCACTGGAATGGGTTACCTAGGGAGGTGATGAAATCTCTCCTTCCTTAGAGGTTTTTAAGGTCAGGCTTGACAAAGCCCTGGCTGGGATGATGTAGTTGGGGACTGGTCCTGCTTTGAGCAGGGGGTTGGACTAGATGACCTCCTCAGGTCCCTTCCAACCCTGATATTCGATGATTCTATGTGATGTCATTTTGTAAAACTTCATAAACTAGACTAATATGGGACACTCTGTAGACAGTATACATTGCATAAGATCAAGATTTTTGGAAATGACTCATGATTTTGAGTGCCTCCATTTTTTTGGATGCCCAAGTTGAGATCCTGAAGGCCTGATTCCTCTCCCCCTCCCCTCCCGAGGTCAGGTACTCAGACTTTTTAGGTGTCCCAAATGGAGGCACTCAAAATCACTAGTCACTTTTGAAAATGGCTTTTATTTCCATGTTATCCACTGTTCATGTTTAAAGTTATATGTTTCTATGTTCCATGTTTTTATTTACAAGGCTTGAAATGAGTGAGGATGCAAACATGACTACCCAAAAAAGAAACTTCTGAGGTGGGCTGGAAATTTGCAAAGGGATATGTTGTCAGGACCATAAACTCTCTTGTTATTAACTAATTATTTTTATTGCTGGGCAATGACCAATCCAACACTCCTTTGCGGTTACTCAAACCCTGATTTCTCATTTCTCCTCTGATCTTTCCCAAATATTCATGTGTTCCCAAACAAACTCAGACTTCAAAATAAAGCAGTCTGTCATCAAGGGGAAAATTACTTGGATAAATACATCTGAAGTAATTCTCCTCAAATGTTCTTTTTTTTAAAAAAATCACCAATACATTGCACCACTATTATAGTCATCTGAAGTGTGCATATTTGTCTGTCTTAATTGCCCTCAAATTCAGCCAATTCCAAATGGCAATGGCTGTTTCACTTCCCCTACCCCTTAATGCCAGTGATTCATTAGTATTAAATGTTGCTTCTCCCAAGGTGACTCAGTCATGAAGGCCTTTTGGTTAACAATTGCCTGGTGAGCAAAAACAGCTGTTGTAATTAACAAAAACAAGGTTAAGATTAATATATTCTAAGGAATGCAAAGCTGAACCTGGCCACTTAATAGACAAGGTGGCAAAGAACTCTTCTAGTGATATAAGCATATATTTTCCCCCTGGATTCTTT